GACAGGAGAAGGAAGCGACACAGTGAGGGCCGACTCAGGAGGAGACGGAAGCACAGACGGAGACGGACGAGGTGGACGAGAACAAAGGAAGGCTGTACGAAGGTCAGTGAAGGGAACAGGAGACGAGGGACGAGCACGAGGGGAGCGACGAGAGGCCCAAGTCTGAGAAGGAGGAGGAGACAACGAAGACTGAGGACGAGGGAAAACAGCGGGAGAGGGGTCAGGAGGAGGAAGCGGAGGACCAGAGACGGGAGGAGAGGGGGAGGAGGAAGGAGAGGGAGACGGGAGACCAAGGGTCCGAAGACCCGAGACAGGAGGAGGAGACGGCAGCAGCTGCTGCTGCTGCTGCTGCGGCTGCTGCGGCTGCTGCTGCTCCAGCGGCTGCTGCCTCTGCTGCTGCTCCTGCTGCTGTGGGGAGGGAGGCTGTACAGGGGGGGCTACCGAAGGGGGAGGGCTAGCCTGAGACACACCAGACGGGGCTGGACCAGGGGGGGGAGGCTGTACCGGGGGAGCAGGCGGGGGAGCGGCGGTCAGGAAGAGAGGGGGGGGAGGGACCGGGAGACCTCGACTGGGGTACCTGACGTAGTAGGGGGTGGACTCCTCGAAACGGACGTCACGGGAGTCAAAGAACCGGTGAGAGGGAGGGTGGTAAAAGGTGAAGTCAGAGGAGTCCTCAGGGAAACCAAGGAAGACACAAGGAACGGCGCGAGGCGAGAGCTTGTCCGCGGAGGTGTCGCGGACAAGAGCCAAGCACCCCCAGACACGAAACCTCGACGCGACACCAGGGGACCCTGTCCAAAGACTGGTCGGTGAAGCCTCCGGCCGAGAGACGCGTGGCCAGAGGTTCAGCTGGTGCGCGGCGTACCTGACCGCGTATGGCCACAGGAAATGGGGGGCACGGGCGTGAGTCAAGGAGGTGCGGGCAATCTCCATGACCAGGCCTATGCGACGCTCAGCAACCCCATTCTGCTGTGGGGACTCCGGAAGCGTCCAGGACTGACGAATGCCCTGTTCGCGACAGAATCCAGCGAGAATGCCGGAGCGAAACTCGCCCCCGCGGTCGGAGTGGAGACAGCTGACACGACGACCACGAGTGTCCTGGGTGGTAAGCAACCACCTGATCAGCGTAGAAGTCACCTCAGACTTCCTCGCCAGGGGGAACACTGTGGTGTAGCGGGAGTAGTCGTCAACGACCACCAAAAAGAAACGCTCACGCTCAGGGCCAGGGCGAGGAGAGGGGCCCCAGACGTCCAAGTGCAGCGTCTCAAAAGGCTCGGTGGCCGGACGAAGGGAGGAGGAGTGAGGGGTGGCGCGCAGCCTACCCTCGACGCAAGGACCGCACGGTGGTGCAAGGGACGGCGGCAGCGACGGCAAGACACGCGGGAGACCTAAGACAAGACGCTGACGAGACATAGCGCGAAGACGAGGAGGAGAAGGGTGCCCCAGCCGGTGGTGCCACAAAACGGTGGGGTGGGCAAGCGACCGACAGGAGCACGACGCAGCGACCGGACTAGACGGAGGAACCTGACAAGACACAGCTACCTGGGGGGACGGAGCAACCTGGTGAGACGCGAGGACTCGAACGGGGGGCAAAACAGGGGCCGGGGGCAGGAGGGGCGGCTGTGGCTGCGGCTGCTGCGGCTGCTGCTGCCGCTGCTGCTGCGGCTGCTGCTGCTGCTGCTGCTGCAGTCGCTGCTGAGGGCGCGGGCCAGTGTGAAGAGTGTAGAGACCGGAGCCCGGCTCAGCAGCAAAAGTGGCGAGGGGCTGGTAAGAGTCCCCGTCAACACACACCGCAGTCTCTCCAGAAGGCTCAAACCACACACCCACGTGCTGACTCACGAGGGGTCGCACGCCCACCAAGTTCCGGGAGAACGAGGGGACGTGAAACCCAGTGAGAGACCCAGAAGGAGCAGCCGGACACGGCAAGGTGGTAGTGTGACGCGCGGTGACTGGTCCCGAAGTGGGATCAGCCAGCGCCACAGAAACAGGCGCAGGAAGAGGCGTAAGTGTCGTGCTGTCACGAAAGAAGCAGTGAGAGGCTCCAGAGTCCAGCGTGAACGACAGCGAACCGTCCTCTGAGGTAGCCGCTGGACTAGAGTCTACACAAGAACCTACACTAGCAACAGGCAACTGAGCAAGGCTAGCACCTAAGCTAACAACACCAGAGTAAGCAGAGTCAGAAACACTAGAGTCAACAACAGCATACATAGCATGGGGAGTACCAATCAGATCAACTAACTGCTCAGCAGACATGGCCCACAGAGCGGAGCCGTAGCGCTGAACAAGAGGCAGCCAGTCAGGGGCAGGAGCACCAACCCCGTAGACCAAACGAACCGTGTCAGTGAGCTGAGCAAAGCACTGACCAGGGGGGTGAAACCGGCCACAAGGGTGGCCACGACGAGTGCCTGTCAGAACCTGGTAGGTGCAGGGAGTGTAAGCAGCACCGCGCTGGGTCTGACGCAGCCCCGACCCTGGAGCCAGCTGCTGCCGCTGCTGCTGCTGAGGCTGCTGGGAGGAGAGGGGCTGCTGGTGCTGCAGAAGCTGCTGCTGACGCTGAGCCTGGTACCACGCCGCTGCTCCGCCAACCGCTGCTGACACGACGGGGGGAAAGGGGGGGGGCGCGACGGGACAGGGGGAAGGCGACACGACGGGGGGAAGGCGCGGACGCGACGCGACGGGGGGAGCGCGACGCGACAGGGGGAAAGGGACGGGCGCGACTCGAGGGGGGGGGGGAAGGCGACGCGAAGGGGGGGGGGGGGGGGGGCGGGCTACGCTACGAACGAGAGCGTGGCTCGGCGCTAGGCTCGGTAACAACGAGAAGGAGACGAACGAGAGCTAGGATCAGGCTCGGGTGGTACGAACGGAGAACGGCGGAACGGGATCCCACAGGATCCTAACCGCTCTGATACCATGTCAGAATGAAGAATGGATGATGCATTGATGTTGGTTGGGGTACATATAGCTAACCCTAAGTTTTGTACCCCCTAAGACAAACCTCACTATAGGCTACAACATTTGACAGGGCTAGCATGAAAGCCACGACTAAGCTACAATGTCATGCAAAGTTCGTACTCTAGGTACAAGACAAACTCTGCAGCACCAACTCCCAACCAGATTTTTGCTCTAAAGTTAGCAGACTGGCTGGCTTGGTTGGCATGGCAGGGTGAGAAGAGGGTGCGAAAATGGCAGGCAGGAAGATTCACGCAGGTGGGCACACACATGCACATTGCACACGCTGTTACTGTCACATTGAGCTGCCTCGGGATGAGGTTGGTGGCCGCCAGGGCCCAAAATTGGTTTAGGCCTACTCTTCCAAATCAGGGTACTAGGCCCTCCTTGAACAGACCCCTAGGGTAAAATTTTTCGTACCCTGCTTTCAGCAGGGTAAATCAACCACTAAACTGATTTGAGCAGGGTAGTGTTAGGCTTAGCCTGTTTTGATTACCGGCGACTTCACTATCGCGTTCCAGACGGAAAAGGAATACGGTATGCGTCGCGGGCCACGACGCGCGGTGCAATGGGAAGCAGCGCGGCGCACTGCGGGAGACTCCTGCAGCGGGGGACGTTAAAGCAGCTGTATACATTTGGCGCTACTGTTCAGTTTGTACAGTGATGGAACACCATTTCGCCCAGACGAAAAAAACCGGGGGGAGCGAGAGTGTTGGCGAAAACCAGATGCACTTGTGTTGTGAGGGAACCAGATTGGGGTTGGTTGTGAGTCACAGAATGGATAAAATGCCCTCGCCACCGAGCTCACCACTAACTCTCACACACCAAGTAAAATAAGCGCCAAATACCTACTCCAGAAAGAAACAACCACGGCGCGCGCTAGAAGGTGCTACGCCAGCAGCGCGACCAGACCACACACAAAGTGGCGCGTGAGTTCGGGACGAATTCAAATAGCCAAAAGGGCGAAACGTGTAGAAAAAACGCGCGCAAGCAGCAGCCTTTCTAGTAACCGTGACGCACTCACCTCTAGCCTCGCACGCGCCCTAACATTCCGCCCGATCCAGCATAGCACGCTCCAGCATTTCGCGCTCAGGATAGCAGCGCACGCAAGCAAAACGCGCGCCGCAAGGGCGCTCGTAATATTCATAGCGCGCGTGGGTACCAGTGACGAATCGTGTTCTCCGAGGGGACACACCGTCTTTGCGCATATAAGAAGAGGTGGGAGCTGTGTCACGTGCCCCCAAACGCATTCTGGCCGTCTCATACGCATTCCCCATTCCGCATTCCCCATTCCGCATTCCCCATTCCGCATTCCCCATTCCGCATTCCCCATTCCGCATTCCCCATTCCGCATTCCCCATTCCGCATTCCCCATTCCGCATTCCCCATTCCGCATTCCCCATTCCGCATTCCCCATTCCGCATTCCCCATTCCGCATTCCCCATTCCGCATTCCCCATTCCGCATTCCCCATTCCGCATTCCCCATTCCGCATTCCCCGTTCCGCTCTCCCCCTTCCGTAGGCCCCCTTTCGCGCCGCCCCTTCCGCGTTCCCCCTTCCGCGTTCCCATTTCCACATTCCCCCTTCCGCAACCCCCCTTTAGCGTTCCCCCTTCCGCCAACCCCCTTCCGCATTCCGCCGTCCGCCTTCCCCCTTCCGCGTTCCCCCTCTCGCGGTAACCCTTTCGCGTTCACCCTTCCGCATCCCCCCTTCCCCATCCCCCTTGCGCATCCCCCCTTCCGCATTCCCCCATCAGGCCCCATGTTTCCCCCCATCAGGCCCCATGCATCCCCCCATCAGGCCCCATGCTTCCCCCCATCAGGCCCCATGCTTCCCCCCATCAGGCCCCATGCTTCCAGACACGAGGCCCCATGTTTCCCCCCATCAGGCCCCATGCATCCCCCCATCAGGCCCCATGTTCTTCCCACTTGCAAAGAAGGCAGCTACTCTGCCGGTGCACGCACCCTCCTCCCTCTGTCATGCTCATCTAGCCGTCAGTCAACCATCACATCGTGCACCAATCCATCCTAACGCAACCTTGACCACCATGCCTATCCACACTCCACCCCATCCCACCCCGTCTTCTCATCAGGTACGTGGCATTCCAGCCGGTGGCAGGACGGGAGGTGGCGGTGGGGATGGAGATACCGGACGGCAAATGGGAGGTGCTGACATGCGCTCTCGCGGGGCATCAGGGGCGCTGTGCTCTCGCCCCCTCTCAGCAAGCGCCACCTCTCTGTGATTGGCTCCTCCAGGACAGTGGAGCTGGTGGCATGGGGGGACTGCGCGAGTGGCGATGGTGTGGATGCGAGAGAAGGGAGGTAAGTGAGAGAAGGGAGGGAAGGGAGAGAAGGGAGGGAAGGGAGAGACGGGAGGGACGGGAGGGACGGGAGGGAAGGGAGGGAAGGGTGGGACGGGAGGGACGGGAGGGAAGGGAGGGAGGGAGGGAGGGAGGGAGGGAGGGAGGGAGGGAGGGAAGGGAGGGAGGGAAGGGAGAGAAGGGAGGGAAGGGAGAGAAGGGAGGGAAGGGAGGGACGGGAGGGAAGGGAGTGAAGGGAGGGACGGGAGGGAAGGGAGAGAAGGGAGGGAAGGGAGGGACGGGAGGGAAGGGAGAGAAGGGAGGGAAGGGAGGGACGGGAGGGAAGGGAGAGAGAGGAGGGGAGGGAGGGAAGGGAGGGACGGGAGGGACGGGAGTGGGAGGGAAGGGAGGGACGGGAGGGAAGGGAGAGAAGGGAGGGAAGGGAGAGAGAGAAGGGAGGGAAGTGAGAGAGGGAGGGACGGGAGGGACGGGAGGGAAGGGAGGGACGGGAGGGACGGGAGGGAAGGGAGGGAAGGGAGGGACGGGAGGGAAGGGAGAGAAGGGAGGGACGGGAGGGAAGGGAGAGAAGGGAGGGACGGGAGGGAAGGGAGAGAAGGGAGGGAAGGGAGGGGACGGAGGGACGGGAGGGAAGGGAGGTACGGGAGGGACGGGAGGCAAGGGAGGGAGGGGAGGGAAAGGGAGGGAAGGGAGAGAAGGGAGGGACGGGAGAGAAGGGAGGGAAGGAGAGAAGGGAGGGAAGGGAGGAGACTGGAGGGAAGGGAGGGACGGGAGGGAAGGGGAGGGAAGGGAGGGGGGAGGGAAGGGAGAGAAGGGAGGGACGGGAGGGAAGGGAGAGAAGGAAGGACGGGAGGGAAGGGAGAGACGGGAGGGAAGGGAGGGACCGAGAGAGAAGGGAGGGAAGGGAGGGACGGGAGGGACGGGAGGCAAGGGAGGGAGGGGAGGGAAAGGGAGGGAAGGAGAGAAGGGAGGGACGGGAGGAGAGAAGGGAGGGAAGGGAGAGAGAAGGAGGGAAGGGAGGGACGGGAGGGAAGGGAGTGAAGGGAGGGACGGGGAGGGGAAGGGAGAGAAGGGAGGGAAGGGAGACGGGAGGGAAGGGAGAGAAGGGAGGGAAGGGAGAGAAGGGAGGGAAGGAGAGAAGGGAGGGACGGGAGGGACGGGAGGGAAGGGAGGGAAGGGAGAGAAGGGAGGGAAGGGAGAGAAGGGGAGGGACGGGAGGGAAGGGGAGAGAAGGAAGGGACGGGAGGGAAGGGAGAGAGACGGGAGGGAAGGGGGGACGGGAGAGTAGGGAGGGAAGGGAGGGACGGGAGGGACGGGAGGCAAGGGAGGGAGGGGAGGGAAAGGGAGGGAAGGGAGAGAAGGGAGGGACGGGGAGAGAAGGGAGGGAAGGGAGAGAAGGGAGGGAAGGGAGGGACGGGAGGGACGGGAGGAAGGGAGAGAAGGGAGGGAAGGGAGAGAAGGGAGGGAAGGGAGGGACGGGAGGGAAGGGAGAGAAGGGAGGGACGGGAGGGAAGGGAGAGAGGGAGGGAAGGGAGAGAAGGGAGGGGAAGTGAGAGAAGGGAGGGAAGGGAGAGGAAGGGAGGGAAGGGAGGGCGGGACGGGAGGGAGGGACGGGAGGGAAGGGAGGGAAGGGAGGGAACGGGAGGGAAGGGAGAGAAGGCGGGAAGTGAGAGAAGGGAGGGACGGGAGGGACGGGAGGGAAGGGAGGGAAGGGAGGGACGGGAGGGAAGGGAGGGAAGGGAGGGACGGGAGGGAAGGGAGAGAAGGGAGGGACGGGAGGGAAGGGAGAGAAGGGAGGGACGGGAGGGAAGGGAGAGAAGGGAGGGAAGGGAGGGACGGGAGGGACGGGAGGGAAGGGAGGTACGGGAGGGACGGGAGGGACGAATAGTCGGCCGCCCGGAAAAGGGATCAGGGAGGCGGGACGGCATGTCTGGCGGCGGAAAATGGGAATCGGGCGGCGGGAAGCGCAGCGGGCGGCGGGAAAGGGGAAGCGGGCCGCGGGAACGGGAATCGGACGGCGGCGGGAACTGGAATTTGGCGGCGCGAAAGGAGAAGCGGGCGGCGCGAAAGGGAATCGGGCGGCGGGAGCGGGATTAAGGCGGCGGGAATTGGAATTTGGCGGAGCGCAAGGGGAATCGAGCGGCGGGAAGGGGCGGTCGGGCGGCCCGCCCGGAATCCATGCGGCGGGAAGGGGATTCAGGTGGCGTGGAAGGGGATTTCGGAGGCTGGATAGGGGAACCGGGCGGCGGGAATGTGGTTCGGGCGATGCGAAGGGGAGTAGGGCGACGGGAAAGGGAACCCGCCGGAAGGAAGAAGTGGTGGGAGCAGGGAGTCGAGCGGAGGGAAGGGGAATCGCCGGACAGCGTGACTGGGGTTTCGTGGCGGTGGAAATGGGAAACCGGGCGGGAGGGAGTTGCATCAGGCGACGCGAATGGGGAATCGGGCGTCGCACAAGGGGAATCGCGCCGCAGATCAGGGCTATGGCGAACCCTAAGCTCCGTGTATTTGGCGCCGGAAAATAATCAATGGCTCTGTAGGTGTTTGACCTACGCGTGAGGCGCGCTATAATGACATTGGATTGCAGTGTTTTTGGAATTTACCTATTTAGTGATGACTTAGAGCGCTCTGGCGGTGGGGTTAGTGGTGAGGAGGCATGTCCTTCAGTATACTTTTGGCTAGCCATAAACTTTTGACGAGTGAGTCAGGTGAGAGGGGATGGTGTTGAACTTGTCGCTGTGTCCGAAGTCGAGAGACCCTGTAATTTGGTTACCACCTTGTACCTTTTATAAAGTTTTGGCCTTCCCACTGCCAAATGTATACCGCTGCTTTAAATGAATTCATGTCGGGAATTGCGCGTCGAAAAGTATGCTCTTTGTGAAAATCGTGTGTCGAAGAGGTGGGAGTGCTTCAATTTGTTTTTCGCTAACTCGCACTGTAACTACTTCCCCGTTACCACAGGTTCCGTCCTCGTCCCGCAGTGCTTGAGGTCTCAATCAAGTGGCAACGATGCACGAAAAGTGCCTGGTTTCTCGTTCCGTCAGCACACTCGTAGGGTATCTCTCACGCTATCTCTCCTCTCCTCTCGCCCCGTGTGCGCCCCCACAGTGCGGTGTTTGTGGGGTGTGGTAAATTTTGACACCACGCGAACTGTGATCTGATTCGCGTTAGGAAAGTTTCGGTAAAAGGGTAGTGTACACTATACCCTGATTCCGTCAGGCTAACCTAAAAACCAATCAGGGTGAAATAAAACATGCTCTTTTAAGAGAAGGGTAACTATCTCGCATTCCTGATTTTGGCAGGGTAATCCTGAAAAAACGGCCGACCCCCAGGGTAATCAGGGCGTTTTACCCTGATATTTTGGGCCCTGGTGGCCGCTAGAAGCTCGGCAGCGGGATTGCTTGCGAGTCGCGATGCCTTTGAGAAACAGGCTTGAAGTACCATATGGTATGTGATGTAATCACGCCATGCCAGCCAAGAGGTGTGTCATGCCATGCCATTCCACTGACAAACGGTCTTGTCAAACCAAGCTGGTTTGTCGAACCAACGCGTGAAAATGGCTGATGTGCAGTACGGTTGCCTGATCAGACACAGGAGTGGAGAAAACTCCTTGTGGATGTGAGACTGGATCTTAGTGGGTGGGTGTAGTGACTTGAGTTGAGAAGGCTACTGCACTTGCTGTGTGAGGTGAGGGAGAAGGAGGCTCGGCCCAAGAGGAAGAGAAACAGTGGGTTTTGAGTCGAGTCGAAGAGGGAAAGGAGTGTTAAAGGCAATGCAGCACCGCATGCACGTCTCAGGAGTGGGGAGAAGCAGGAGTGTCAGGAGAGGAAGGAGAGGAGGAGTGTCAGGAGAGGAAGGAGAGGAGGAGTGTCAGGAGAAGGAGAGGAGATGGTGCCTCAGGAGAAAAGAGTGTCAGGAGAGAGAGAAGAGGGCGCATCGGCGGTCCTCGGCAAGAGCCACAGCAGCGGTGGGATCCCCGGCGTTGAGGTTAAGTTGCATGGAGGCGGAGGAGAGCTGCATGAGGAGAAGGTGACTCGCACCGTTGCCCCTGCATAAACTGCTGACCCCAAGGGCGGCTGGAATGTCCGTGCTGCCAACCCGCTGCTTGGGGGAAGAGTGAGAGGGGGGGGGGAGAGCGGGGGAGGGGAGGAGGGGAGCGGACGGAGAGGGGTTGGACGAAGGGGCGACGGGAAAGGAGGAAAGGTGGAAAGGGAAGGGGCGAAGGGAGAGTGTGCGTGCGTTGGACTGATGAACGACAGGGTTGGATAAGCATGACACACGTGCAAACAGAGTGTGTTCCTGTCGAACAAGCATGCGTGCGTGCATGTGTGTGGGGACAGGGGAGGGGGGAGGGGGCGGAGGGGGGGGGAGGGGAGGGGGGTACATGCGTGCATGCATGCATGTGAGCGTGCACGTATGTGCAAGTGCACACGCACCGAGCCAACGAAGTAGAACTGATTGCTAGCATCCACTTGAGCTCCACTGCCCCCGCACACCACCTCCGCTTTATTCACATTAGCCGATCCCACATTAAAGCTCTCCCCCCCCCCTCCGCCTCCCATGTCCGCAGCAGCAGGTGCCCCCGCCTCCCCTCCGCCCCCCCCTCCCGCTCCCCACCTCCAAAGCCCACCCTACAGAGGAGATTCGGCGAGAGAGGAGAGTCAGGAAGAGCAGATGCGAGAGGGAAAGAGGGGATCGACCCGTCATTCCCTTCAAAGAAACAATCACAGTCTGAGGCAGACACAGCTGTGCAGGTCTCGGGAGGAGAGGATGGTGGAGAATCCGGGCTTGGTGGGTTGAGGGACGAGGCTGGTGCGTCGGGCGGGGGAGGGGCGATAGGTGGTGAGCGCATAGAGCCATGGGTGGGGCGGAGTGTAGGGTCTAGGGGAGGGCTGGGGGCAGCGATTAGGAATGGGGGGCGGGAGAGGCCAGGGGGAGGGGGGAAGAGGTCAGGGGGAGGAGGGGAGGGGGGAGGAGGGGATGGGGGAGGAGGGGAAGGGGGAGGAGGGGAGGGGGGAGGAGGGGAAGGGGGAGGAGGGGAAGGGGGAGGAGGGGAGGGAGGAGGAGGGGAGGGGGAGGAGGAGAAGGGGAGGGGAGAAGGGGGGGAGGGGAGGCGGCGGGCGGGGGGAAGGCAGGCGGAGGAGATTCGGGGGGAGGGGAGGGCGGAGGAGGGGGGGAGAAACAGGGGGAGGTGGAGGGGAGGAATCGGGCGGAGGGGGAGAGGCAAGAGGGGGAGGCGGTGAGGCAACGGGGGGAGGGGAAGAGTCAACGGGGGGAGGGGAAGAGTCAACGGGGGGGGGGAGGGGGGGGAGCAACAGGGCGCATGGATCCGTGGGTTGGGGGAAGGTAGGGCATGAGAGGGGGGCTGGGGGCGGCAATGAGGAGAGGAGGGGGAGAGACGGCGGGTGGGGGGAGGCGGATCACGGGAGGAGGAGGAGCAGGGGTGGAAGTTGGTGGTGGCGTGGCAACAAGTGGCTCATTGGTTGTGCCTGTTAGGGGAGAGGGGGAGAGAGAGGGAGAGAGAGAGGCAAGAGGGGTAGGTTGGTTAAACTTTGAGACGCCTCAAGAGGAGGAGCAGGGGTGGAAGTTGGTGGTGGCGTGGCAACAAGTGGCTGATTGGTTGTGCCTGTTAGGGGAGGGAGAGAGAGAGAGAGGGAGAGGTAGAGGGAGCAGCGGGGGAGAAACGAGGAAGAAAAGTAGATTGTAGGGTTGACACAGGGAGTGGACAGGGAAAGCAGTGATGTCCAGAATAGACTGGCAGGGCGGGGATACAAGGGTTGGCAAATGGAGATGCTGATGCTTCTATTCTCCACCTGCTCAAATGCCTATACTCTTGTAAGGTCTAGTGTGGGTAATTGAGGTAGGTAATGATGGGCAATCGAGGTAGGTAAGCGCACTGGTTGCATGAAAGAGGGGGAGAAAGAGAGGGGACGGCAGAAAGCCCTTGCTGCAAAGCGAACTCACAGTTGACATCGGTCCATGCCATGACGCCCTTCTGCCGCTCGATCCAGATGTACTTGTTGCGCAGCCATGACTCTGATGATGGGAAGGAGGAAGGGGAGGGAGACAGGAAGGGGCATGAGGCAACAATTTGTGCCGCTCGATCCAGATGTACTTGTTGCGTAGCCATGACTCTGGTAGCAGGCAGGTATGCATGCAGGCGGGCAGGGGCGGGTAGGAGAAACAGGAGGGAGACGGGAAAGGGCGTGAGGCAAGGCCTTGTGCTGCCATGACGCCCTTCTGCCGCTCGATCCAGATGTACTTGTTGCGCAGCCATGACTCTGGTGGGAGCAGACGGGAAGGCAGGTGAGCAGACGGGAAGGCAGGTGGGCAGACGGGTAGGGAAGATGATAGGGGCGTAAGGCAATGCTATTCTGTTGCTCGATCCAGATGTACTTGTTGCGCAGCTATGACTCTGGTGGGAGCAGGAAGGAGGGCAGGTGGGCAGGAAGGCAAGGGGAGGGTGACAGGAAGGGGCGTGAGGCAACAACTTGTGCTGCTCGATCCAGATGTACTCGTTGCGCAGCCATGACTCTGGCAGCCACAGACGGGCAGGTGAGCAGACGGGGCGGGGAAATGATAGGAGCGTAAGGCAAGGCTTATTCGTTGCTCGATCCAGATGTACTTGTTGCGCAGCCATGACTTCGATGGGAGCAGGACAGGCAGGGAGGTAGGCAAGCAGGAGGGCAAGGGGGATTCGGGAAACAGGAGCGAGACGGGAAAGGGTGTGAGACAAGAACTTCTGCTTGATCGATGGCATGGCGGCATGGTGATATGGCAATGGTAATGGTATACGTAATGGTCGTGGTAATAATAGTGGTCATGGTAATGGTAATGACAATGGTAGTGGTAGTGGTAGTGGTAATGGTAATGGTAATGGTAATGGTAATGGTAATGGTAATGGTAATAGTAAAGACAATGGTAATAGTATTGATAGTGGTAATGGTAATGGTAATGATAGTGGTAATGGTAATGGTAATGGTAATAGTAATGGTAATGGTAATGGTAATGGTATTGGTAATGGTAATGGTAATGGTAATGGTAATGGTAATGGTAATAGTAATGGTAATGGTAATAGTAATGGTAATGGTAATGATAATGGTAATTGTAATGGTAATGGTAATGGTAATGGTAATGATAGTGGTAATGGTAATGGTAATGGTAGTGGTAATGGTAGTGGTAATGGTAATAGTAATGGTAATAGTAATGATAATGGTAGTAGAAAATGGTAATGGTAATGGTAGTGGTACTGGTAATGGTGATATTAATGGTAATGGTAATGGTAGTGGTAATGGTAATAATTATGGTAATGATTATGGTAATGGTAAAAGAGATGGTAATGGTGATGGTATTGGTAATAGAAATGGTAATGGTATTGGTAATGCTTGCCTGCCTGTCCAGATGACAATAACTATTATCATTACCATTACCATTACCATTTCTATTACTATTACCATTACCAAAGAAATGGTAATGGTATTGGTAATGCTTGCCTGCCTGTCCAGATGACAATAACTTGTGCTGCTCGACTCAACACCTTCTTTCGACTCAAACCCCCTCTTATCCCCTCCTCAGCTCCGTCAACCCAATCCCCACCTGCTCCAATCCCCATCTTCCCCAAGTCACACCTGCGAGCACAGTTCTGAGGGAGGGTGATCTGCCTATCGCAAAGCACGCCAGGCCGTCAGGTGGCGACTGGGGGAGGTAAAAGTGGCAGAGAGGATGGGACGAGGCGGGGGGGGGGGGGGGGGGGGGGGAGGAGGGGGAAGACGCAAAGGGGGGAATAGGTGGGGAGGGCAGGGGATTGGGGGAGGGAGAGGGGGAGAGGAAGCGGGAGATGGATGCGGATGACGAGAAGGGAAAGGGAAACAGACGTTCGAAGAAGATGAGGGATTGGACTCACAGCAAGGAGGTATGTCTATGGGAGGATCTTGCATCACGGGATGAGCGAAACGACACATGTGTGCATGAGGGATAAGAGGGAAATGAAGCATGTGCTGGTAGGTAGGTAGGTACTCATGGATAGCAAGGAAGGACAGGGGCAGGGTCAGGGACTCACAGCGAGGAGGTAGGTCTGAGGGAGGACGAGGAAATCCGCATCGCCTGCTAGATGCAGCGTGACGGTTGGGAAGCGCTGGAAGAACGCTGCAGGGTCGTTGCTGCTAGCGGATATACATGCGTATATGGATGCACACACACACGCACGCACGCACGCACGCACGCACGCACGCATGCACGCACGCACGCACACGCGCGCGCGCGCACACACACACACACGTGTACAAACATTTACATGCACATGCACAAGAACATGCACACACAAGCACACAGCACTTGAACAAGTCACAGGAAGCGATACCATTTACTCTAATCACAGGTTTATTTGCATGGAGACACGCATGCATGCTCTCCACATCGTCTTGGTCAGGCTCGGCTTACTACAGCTTTGCGCCTTTGGTCACATCTCAAAAGCATGGCACAGCACAGCAGCAGCAGCAGCAGCAGCAGCGGTGGCGGCGGCGGTGGCAGCAGCAGCAGCCGCAGCAGCCTTACATGGCAATCTCCGTGTTGATATAGCACATGAAGCTGCTGTGCATGGGTGCATGTGGTGAAAGCATGGCACAGCACATCCGCAGCAGCAGCAGGCTTACGTGGCGATCTCCGTGTTGATATAGCACATGAGGCTGTGGGCGGCTGAGTCCTTGCTGCTGAACGTGAACCCTCCCACTGTCTCAACCACCTGCCGCACACACACCAAACACACACCACACACACCACACGACATGCAGAATGCAGTGCAACACAAGTTTTGAGTCGACTCAAAAGGCTGAACGTGAATCCTCCCACTGTGTCAACAACCTGCGGCGGCACGCACACGCAACACACATGATGCAGCGCAACACAGCACAACGGGCAGTGAGAAAGAGCACATGGGAAGGAGGGAGCATGGGGATGCGTCGTGTGCGCAGTAGCAGTCTGCTTTTGAGTCGATTCAAAAGGAGGGAGCATGGGGGCATGTCGTGTGCGCAGTAGTGGTGCCCATGGTGTCATGTCAAGCCAACAACCTGCCACTCACTCAACACACACATGACGCACCCAAACAGAAAGAGCACATACCGCGGTGATGAGAGCGCGGAACACATCTGCTGGTAGCTCCGTGAAGGTGGTGGACGAGTCCTGCACGGCCCCGCCCTCTCCCTTGCAGGTGCCTTCACCCACCTACTATACTCCTCTATGCCACCACACCATGCACACCAGAACGAAAACCAGAAATCACAGCAGAAAGCACATACCGCAGCGATGAATGCACGAAACACATCCCCTGGGAGCTCCGTGAAGGAGGTTGAAGTGTCCAGTACGGCCCCACCGCCTCCCTCTCCCTCGCAGGTGCCTACAATCTGACTAGAGTCAGCCAGAGATACACGACAGACAGGCATACCGCGGTGATGAGAGCGCGGAACACGTCTGCTGGTAGCTCTGTGAAGGTGGTGGAGGAGTCGAGCACGGCCCCGCCCTCTCCCGTTGGGGTGGGCGGGCGGAAGTTGCGCGGAGGGATGGAGAGAAGCGTGCCAGCGACTGACACGCCCTTGATGTGAATGAAGTAGAGGGGACTGGGCGGAGAAGAAGAGGGGGAAGAGGGGGTGAAGGAAGGGGGGAGAATGGAGAGAGGTGTGATTGGAGGTGTGCAGTAGCGTGAGGAGACGGAAAGAGACGCGTGCCTGCGACCGACACGCCCTTGATGAAGTAGAGCGGACTGGGATGGGATGGAAGGTGGGGGAAGGGAAAGGGAGGAGGAGGAAGGGGGGGAGGGGAGGAGGGAGTGCTGTGATTGGAGGTGTGCAGTTGCACGGGGAGATGGAGAGAGGCATACCTGCCACTGACTGACACGCCCTTGATGTGTATGAAGTAGAGCGGATCATACACATCATACACATGATGATCCACTAGGATGGGAGAGGATCGTGCTCAGCACCACGTAGCTGCCCTTGGCATAGGGGTCGCCCTCCCACTCTCACCATCGCTCCCATCCCTTCCATCTCCCCCATCCCCACTCCCCCATCCCCACGACCCAATGTCCCCACACCCCCAAAGCCGCACAACCCAACCCAACACCCGCAAACCCTTCCGTCGGCCCCGCCCACATTCCCCACTTCCACCACCTCACCTGTCAGCAATCTCAATCAAAGTCGTCCACTGCGCGCCAGTGGGACCTAGACTCGTCCCCAGCACCACGTAGCTGCCTTTGGCATACGGATCTCCCTCCAGGCACAGCGCGAAGGTGTCCGCCCACACGGGTGCGCGAATGTTTACACATACACAACCCCGCACCTGCACGCCCCCACCCATGCCTGCCACACCGCCATAACCCCACGTCCCACCTCCACGGCCCCATACGCCCCCACCCGTCCTTCCCCACCCACGTTCCTCATTCCCTCCCCAACCCCCACTCCCCTCCCCCTCCCCCCCCCACCTGTCAGCAATCTCAATGAAGGTGGTCCACTGCGCGCCAGTGGGCCCTAAACTCGTCCCCAGCACCACGTAGCTGCCTTTTGCATACGGATCTCCCTCCAGGCACAGCGCGAACGTGTCCGCCCACACGGCCTGCGCTGCTGCCACGGAGACTATCGACTGGATGCCCCGCCCCAGCCCAAACACGCCGTCGGGGGCTCGGGAGACACCGGAGAGACTGCCTGTTTGGTAGCTGCCACAGCTGGTGGAAAGAAAGAGGGGACGAGGCCAGGGGGAGAGGAAAAAAGGAGGAATGATGGAAGTGCCCTGTGCTGCTGCCACGGAGACTATCGACTGGATGCACCGCCCCAGCCCAAGACACCCCATAGACTCTCAAGGGCCCGAGAGACGCCCGATAGACTGCCGGTTTCGTAGCTGCCACAACTGGAGGTGGCCAGGGGGGGAGAGAGGTGTGAGGGGGGAAGGGGGAGGGAGAGGGAGGGTTAGTGGCGGAGGAAGAGGGCGGAGTTGGTGGGCTGCCGACTGGACTCAGCAGCTTCCCCTGCGTGCTCCCTGTGCTCACGCCGGCACCGCTGCAAGTGCTCCATTGGCAGTCATGCAGTAGCACTGCATGTACTTACATGCATCAGAGTCCCCCCGTCGCACTGCTGCTCACTCACACAGGGACCTGACCAGTTGCACAGACACACTCATGCACACACCCCCACACACAGAGACACACAGACTTACCCAAAGATCACGTAAGTCTTGGACAGTGTGCCATTCCTTAGTGGCAGCCACACAATATCGTACAGCAACCTCCCCTCCGTTGTACGGCCGTGACCCCGCTCACACCGCTCCCGCCGCTCGCTGTCGTGCCGTACCGTTGCGCGTACTCACACGCGTCCGGGTCCCCCGGCAGCGACCGCGCCATACCGCACCCCACCGCTGCGGTTCCAGAGACGAAGGACATGCTGAGGCAGGTCTTGTCGGCGCAGGTGAGCGGCACGTTGGTCTTGGACGCCGCTGGTTCGAATGGTGGGGACGACTGGGGTGGGGGGGGAAGGGGAAGGGAGGAGGGGCAAGGAAAAAGAGGGGGGGGGGAAAGCCTAGATGTGAGGATCCTCAAAGGCAGGTCTTGTCGGCACAGGTGAGCGGCACGTTGGTCTTGGATGCCGCTGGGTCGAACGGGGGGGGCGACTGGGGGGGGGGGGGAGAGGGGGGGAAGGGTGGGAGGGCAGGAGGGGAGGGAATTAGTATATCTTTGGAGCGCATCAAAAGCAGGTCTTGTCCGCACAGGTGAGCGGCAGGTTGGTCTTGGACGCCGCTGGGTCGAACGGGGGGGACGACTGGGGTGGGGGAAGGGGGGGGTGGTGGGGGTGGAGAGGGTGGTGAAGCCAGTTGATCACTGCGTGCAGTCACAGGAGAGGCAGGAGAGGTAGTAAGGGGGAGGGAGAGAAGCAAAGCAAAGCAGGCACGTGTGGAAAGGGGGAGGGAGGGAGCATGTGGGGAGAGGAGGGGAACGTACAGGGCCGTTGGTGAAGCCAGCTGAGCACTGCGTACAGTCACATGGAAAGGCAAGAGACGACGTTAGGAGATTGCAAAAGTGAGGAACGTACAGGGCCGTTGGAGAAGCCAGTGGAGCACTGCAGGAGAGGCAGGAGAGGCAGGAGAGGCAGGAGAGGCAGGAGAGGCAGGAGAGGCAGGAGAGGCAGGAGAGGCAGGAGAGGCAGGAGAGGCAGGAGAGGCAGGAGAGGCAGGAGAGGCAGGAGAGGCAGGAGAGCCAGGAGAGGCAGGAGAGGCAGGAGAGGCAGGAGAGCCAGGAGAGGCAGGAGAGCCAGGAGAGGCAGGAGAGGCAGGAGAAGCAGGAGAGGCAGGAGAAGCAGGAGAGGCAGGAGAAGCAGGAGAGGCAGGAGAAGCAGGAAAGGGGAGGTGTGAGAGTGAAGTGAAGCAAAGCACGTACAGGGCCGTTGGAGAAGCCAGTGGAGCACTGAGTGCAGTTGCAGGAGAGCCAGGAGACGGGCGTGGTGGTGTCGATCTGCAACCAGAACGTCTGCTGCTCCGACCCAAAGTCCAGCGCCACGTAGTACCCACTGCGGTCGCACAGAGGAGGGGTGGGAGGATGGATGGATGATGGCATGGAAACGCTGTGAGGCAACACAATAAATCCATCCGTCCGTCCGTCCGTCCGTCCGTCCATCCATGCATCACCCCATCCAGCGCACCTCTCCTTGCTGAAGCTGCCCCCAACGGTGCCCAGCATGCCATCCACCGCCTCAGCCAGCATGGGCGTGGTGAAGGGCGTCACCGTCTCAAACACGGCAGACTTTCCCAGCGCTGACCGCCGCTTCTGCTGCTGCTGCTGCTGCTGATGCTCATGCTCATGCTCATGCGGTGGCGGCTTGGACTGGCGATGCTTTGTTGTGCCATGTGAAAGCCCGGAGCCGCTGCTGCTGCTGCTGCTGCTGCTTTTTCTCCTCCCACCTGTCGGCACGCCGCTGTTGGTGGGTGCATGACTCCCGAAGCCTGTAGCGTACGGACCTGGGCGGTACCCCGTGTCCTGTAGCGAGTGAAGTGTGGAGGAAAGTTGTGGGGAGGAGAGGGGGGGTCAGGTGAAAGGGTGAATGGGTATGGGCGTGATGGGCATGGATGCACTTGCACACGTGTGTAAGTGAGACAAAGGGCGAGAGCGATCAGATTACCATGCTTTCCCATGGATGCTTAATCATACACGCTTTTAACCATCAGTCGCGTAGCCTCACCAGTAGAAACGGCGAGTCTGATCGTCTCACGAGGTTCAATCTCAGCCGTCCATCGTCCCCCAAGCCCTCATGCTCCTTCCACGCTTCACTAGTGTAAACGGGTCCTAGACCATGCAGCTTCGCGCCAGTCCTCCCCCTCCCCTTCTTAGTCTTCTTCCCCTTCTTCTCCCTCTTTCCCTCCTTTTCCCTCTTTCCTCTATCTCCACCACTGCTGCTGCCGCCGCTGCTGCTGCTGATGCTGGTGTCGCTCTTATGCTTGGCTCGCCCCGGCATTGCATTTTCATGCACCGTTAGAGTCACATCCGTGCAACCGTTATAATCCTCCATCGTGCATCTACCTGTCCCACTATCAAAACTACCAGCAGCAGCATCAACAGCAGCAGCACCAGCAGCCTCCGCTGCTGCCGTTCCTCGGTCTTCGCTCCCCGCTACTGCCGAGACTTTTGGCCGCGTGATTATAGACGCCGGGCGCGCGCGCTAATGGGGAAAGGACGGGGGGGGAACGGGGTGGAGTGGGTTGGGGATGGGAGAGGGGAAAAACGGAGGAGGAAGGAGAGGGAAAGCAGAGAGGGAAAGCAGAGAGGGGTTAGACTGGGAGGGGGAATGGACGGACGAAATGTGGAACGGGAAAGGACGCGTGGTTGTTTTGAAAGGAGAAAGGGGTGCAATTTGGGAAAGGTAATGAGGAGAGATGGGTGGGGGGAGTGGGGATAACGAAAAGGGAAACGAACAAGAAGCGAGAAATGAGGGGACGAAATGGGGAAAGTGGTTCGGAGAGGACTCGAACGGGAAAGGAGCAGAAGACACGTACGCAGGGAAGAGCGGCGAGCATGAGGAGCATAAGACACACGTGGCGGCGCCGCCACGCGCCTCGCCGTGCGGCGGCTTGCGCGCATTGCAGCGGTCGTCGAGTCGGCTGAACAGACACTTGCGGCGACGAGCGGGGAAGAGGAGCGCGCCGCGGCGACGAAAAGTAACCGGATGATTGGAAACCAGATTCTGAAACGCGCTTCGTGTTCCCGACGGTGCGTTTGTCACTTCGGGAGTGGTGTGGAAAGGACGGGGTAAGGCGCCGCGACGCCATGGGATGCGGGATGGCCACGCGAATGCGAGGCGACAGTCAGTGCTACCAAGAAGCGGCGACGACTGTCGAGACTTCAAAACGGTCGGCCGGGAATGTCAAGGGTCAACTTGGAGGAGTCTTGGGTCGACTTGCGTTGGTCAAGGTTGACTAGAGTTGACTGGAGTTGACTAGCTGTGGCATGACTCGGGCTCACTTAGGTCTAGCAGGGTTAGACATGGAGGCATACACGGGAGTCACAAACTGCTGTTTTGTTTACAGGGCCAACTACGGGGAAACGGTTGCTGCGCGTCATTGGTGTGTGCTAGACGTGATAGTAGTCGATGGGACATTAGCGATGGGTGAAGGAAGTTGCGTCGTGGAGTCAGTATCGACGAGGCTAACGGCTCCGGTAAGGCGACCCCGCTTTTCTGACTCTGCTAAATACGACGCGTGACGTGACCGCCTGCTTAGACACCCTGCATTAGGGTTTCTCGCTCGCTGCCATGCCGTATAGCATAGCGTAGAACTGGTTCACTATAACAAAAGGAAACAAGGCGCAAGCTTGAGATGCTCTCCGTCTTGGGGACTCCACAACTCGGACTAGTTTTTCTCGTTTGCAGATGCTCCAGAACGCTGGAAGTCTCAACACAGGGATTCCCTAGTGCAACTTCGATGACGCGGAAAGCTGAAGTTGTAGGGGTCTTGCCTTTGGCGAGCCAAAGACGCGTGGCGTGGGCGAATTAACGAGCGAACTCATCTCTTGAGTCTCGAAAACAGCGGGGAAGGTGTTACCCTGTCTAGTCACTTCGCGTTGTGGCTGACACATGCCCACCACTCCTGAACATTTGTCGTGTTGTGTGGGGTTCTGGTTTGCGTTGCGCCCCGCCGTACCCGCATCTGGCTGGCTCGACACCAAACCACCAATATCCCGATTGCCCTGCCCTGCGCCCAGGGTGTGAGTTTTGGCGGGAAGAAAATCACCTGAGACTGAATCGAGAATGAGTGTGAACACAATTACTAAATGAACAGTGCGTACACTAGATTCAACAAGACTCCGTGTAGCAAACTTTACGAAAATCTTCCTTCTTCACACATTACACTCAAACTATGAACAAACAAATACTGTCTATGGAATAGCATTAACAGGCCCCTGGACTCGGATAAATCCATGCGAGTGGATTATTCGGGCCACAATTGGCCGCTTGTGGCTGTGGCCACCCCTGTACGAAACCAGCAGAATCCCAGGATCCTCAGGCCTCCTCTCCAACACTCTCTTCGCCAAGCACCCGTCATGACTACACCGGTAATAGCTGCGCTTGAAGTTTGTTTGCTTGAGCGCCTTTTCCCCATACTTGCGCCACCGATAGCCATCATCCACCTCATCCTTTGTTGTAGCCACTCGGTGCATCAACAATGGCTGCTGCTGTTGGGACAGCTGCTCGTGCTGCTCCTGCTCCTGCTGCTGAAAGTGTGGAATGTGCAGCTGGTGAATGGGACTCATGGGACTCATAGGGCTGATGGCTCTTACCCCTCTTGCACACGGAGAGAGAGGTGGAGACGGCACGGGTGTCATCCCACCAGGGCTGAGAGGAAACGGCGAAAGGGGGGCAGTCGAAGCCGAGGGAGAGGGAGAAGGAGAAGGGGAACGTGGCGGGGTATTCACAGGGCTTGCTGCCTGCACCTTCTGCTTCTTGCAGGGGTTGCTAAGAATGCCACCATACTGGACTGCATTCCCCCCTTCCTCGTCCATGCGGCATGGGACGTCACCCTCCTCTGATTCTCGCTGCCTCTTGTTGCCGCACATGCCTCCTCCCCACACTCCACCTCCTCCTCCACCTCCTTCGCCTCCTCCGTCTAGCCGTGCGGCAGCAGCTGCTGCAAGGGCAGAAGACCAAGTGGTGGGTAATCCTTGGCCGGGTAGCACCTGCGCTTGCTGCTGCTGCTGCTGCTGCTCCTGCTGCTTGTTTCCTTCACTGATGCTTCCACTGCTGCTGCTCAGATGGCTGTCCAGGCTTCCAGTCACCGGCCCTCCATGCACCACCGCAGCTGCAGCTTCCAGAACAGCAGCAGACGATCGAGCAGGACTAACCCCACCAGCACCACCAGCACCAGCAGCAGCACCAGCAGCAGAAGCACCGGCGCCTTCATGGGAATGCTCCTCTCGGTACACCACTCGTGTGGAAGCAGCGTCTTCAGCCAGCTCCACCGTCTTTCTCGCAGGGCAGCCGGACAGAGCGCAGCGGAAATAAGCGCGGGGGAACTTGGCGCCCTTGGCGGTCTTCTGCCCGTACTTGCGCCACTGGTACCCGTCCCCTGGAATGCTCTCCATGAGATGTGCCAGAGGGTCTGATGAGGTTTGGCAGAAGTCTGAGATTAGGGGGGATGCGGCTGGCTGATCCCTGCTGCTTCTCTCGGTGTCGGCTGCTGCGGAGGCTGTGGTTGCTGCTGCTGCTGGTGCTTGTGGGGTTGTGGTAGTGGCAGGTGAGGCTTGTGGCTGAGATGGGGAGTGGGATTGTGCTGTGGTGGTGTCCTCACTGTGCAGGGTCGGCTGCTGCTGCTGCTGCTGCTGTTGCTGCTGTTGCAAGAGCTGTGCATCAGCAGCAGCAGCAATCTTCTGCAGCAGCAGCGCGCGAAGGAGCGCGTCCAGCTGAGCAGGCAAAGCAGCCGCTGCTGCCGCCTCATCCCCTCCTCCTGCTGCCACCACGGGTGTAGCTGGTGAGACCGGCGATGCAGGAGTGAAAGGAGAAGCGGGGGTGACTGGGGTGGCTGGGGTGGTGGGCGTGACAAAGCCACAGGAGGAGGAGGCCGGGGTGGTTGGAGTGGCTGGTGGTGTGAATCGCAGCGACAAAGACGCCGATGGGCAGAGCTTACGAGAAACCAATCGGGATGGCAATGGCAGCGGGGACGGCGAGCGCGTGGGAGGGGTTAACCGCGCTCTCCTTGGCCCTGGGCCGAGCGGCAGAGGCACCGACACAACAGCTCGAACAGCGGGAGGCGAGGAAGACGGTGCAGCGGACCCATCCTGAAGTGCATACTCCGAGGAAGGAAAGAACGGTTTCGCATCCGCCGAGTGTTGCGCAGAAGCGCAAGGCGAGTAGGGAGAGGCAGGGCCTGGGGTATAGGCTGTTCCTGTTCCCTCGTTGTCCCTCTCTTCTGCCTCTGCGCCTCTCTCCTCGTCTCCAGGCCAGCAGGAGGACTCTGGTAGCGTCAATGGGCGGAGCTTCAGAGGCAGGCTGCGCTGGGGATGGGCAGTGGGAGGGGCAGCAGGATGGGCGGGGTGATAGTCCGGAGAGGAAGAAGGTCCAGCAGTCTGCTGCTGCTGCTGCTGCTGCTGTGGCTGTGGCTGTGCCAGGAAGTCTCCTTGCTCCGGCGCCTCTCCACTCAACCCTCGCACTGGCAGAAACTGCATCAGATCCTGCACCGCTGCACCACCACCAGCAGCACCACCCGAACACTGCGCAGCACCGCCGCCAACAATCTCGCCGCCATTGCCGCTGCTGCTGCCGCCGTACTGCTGAAAGCACCATGGCATGGAGCTGCTGTCACCTCCAAACGCGAACATCTCTATTGGGGACAGCTGCGGCAGGGCTGTGCTGTGGTAAAACGCCTCTGCTGGCGCGTTTCTCACGGTTGAGATCGGTGGAGGGCGCTGCTCGTCGGTGGCAAGCTCCGCCTCTGCGATTCGAGGGGAGGTGTGCTCGAGGGAGGCGGACCTGTGAGATAATGATTGACCATCGCGGTCGTCGTAGGTGACAATGATAGGAGCGACATTCATAGGCACTGGCTCTTGTACGTCGTCGAACAGTGAGGGCGAGAGAGGAGGCGACTCGGGTTCTGGTTTCACATCAACCGCAGCACCCGCGGGCGTAGCATTCGCGGTAGCGGCGCCAACGGCAGCAGTGGCGTCGGCGGCGGCGGCGTCGGCGGCCGTGGCGCCCGTGCTTGATCCTCCCAGACCGAGTCGCGCGAGATTCGCAGCGGCAGATTTGGACGCCGTCGCCAGCATCGGCAGCAGCGCGCCGAGCAGCTCCAAACCCCGTTGCCGCTGCTGCTGCTGCTGCTGCTGCTCGTCCGTCAACGCATTACCGGCGGCTTCGGGATCAACTTGATCATCCTTCTCGCGTCGCTGCCGCGGCCCGTCCCGATACTCCGCCGTCGCTTGCTCCCCCGCGGGCTGCGGAGTTCGCGGCGCATCGCCCGCTGCCATCAGATCCGGGCCGGCGTCGCAATGCGCGGCCGGCGACGCCGCGGCGTCGCAAGGGACCTCCGCTAGAAGCGCTCGCAACTCGTGAAGGTGGTGCATCAGCTGTTGGCGCGCCGCGGTCCCGTTCTGACCGTTAAGACTACTTGCAGGGGCAGCAGCGGGACTACCTGTAGAACCCATGAACGAAAGCCGCTGCTGCTGGCTCCTGGTGGTAATGTCACCGTGAATGAGACTTTGGAATGCGTTAAACGCTTGTCGCGTGATGTGGAATTGTGATGAGACTGTGACGCTGGAGAGCGGAAGAAGGAGAAGGGGGAGGAGAAGTAGGCGAAGGTGAATGTCGTAGTTGCGTTTCTGTTGTTGAACGACGCCGTTAAGCGGCGGTTGAGTAGTAACGAAGCAGTAACGTAGTTCCGACACACGTAACTCCGAGTTTTTAACGGGATCGACCTATTCTTTTCGTTACTGAAGCGCTTCAATCCTTTCCGGGTGGAAGAACGACACGCGACGTGAGTTGCACAAGAGATGTGTGACGAGGATACAACTGCTATTACTGATCTTGAGGCTGAGGCTGTTTTCCTCGTAGTAGCAATGGAAGTTCCTCCGCTTTAGCCGTTTTTCTCGCTGTCTATGTGATCGCGGCGGGGATAATTATGAATGCCGTTGAGTCGTGTTTTTTCTTCTTCGGCGGTGGTGGGTTGTGAATTTATCTACATTTGGGGGAGACAAGCCTCTCAGTGCGACAGCGTTGCTCCCTAAGGATTGCCGCGCCTTCGGCGTAACGTGGTATAGTAGGTGGGTGGGTGTGCGGCGTCGAGTTGACCCCCGTCAACGCGTCAACTATAGCGAAACGAGAAACGGGAGCTGCTCGTAACCTGCGCACCCCAGCATCTTGTTCAACCGTACCTGCCAGATCATTCTCCCACACCGTCCCAAACCTCGGCACTCCCCCGCTTCCCACTCACCACCAACACCACCGCTTTTCTCTCAAACCAAACAGCTTGGCCAAATCGAATCATGATCCCCTCCACCGCTTTTGCAAAATGACACCCAACGCGTGTTTCACACGATGTCGAGGGCGTCGAAGCAGGGGTCTAAAGGGATTTTTCTATTGCACAATTTAGTAGGATAATCACCCTTCAGACGTGAATGCTATTTCAGATGACTGGTGTTGGAATTTGGTCAACTCATGGCACTGTATTAGAAAGTAAATGATGTTAAAGATGACCGTTTCCTGTCAGGGTAAACACTTCCTGATTTGGCGAAACAGATCCAGAGTCCAGACCGCAGCCCACGCCTTGCCATTGTTCCCAAAACCAAACCGTTGTGGCAAACCGCGCGCTAGGTCCGTGAAACCAGAGGCACATCTCGCGCACCGACCACCAAGGGTTCGGCGAAAGTCGGGGGAAACGCGGTTTCGAATATGTCCTTTGACGAAGAGGCGAGAATAAGCGATCAAGAGAGGACGCTGTAACAGGTCGTAAGCCTTCGTGTCTCGAATTCCTATTGGTCGGACACTTCTGGTAAACGGCTGAGGTTTTGGGGGTGGCCAGGTTTCCAACCGCTGACTGGTTGACAGGGCGTTGAAACCGTCAATGCCTGTCTGCAAGTACAAACTACAGCAGCATGCTCTCAATGAATCGCCCCCGGGATCGTGGACCGGAGGGTGATTTCGTGAGCGTTGATTGGAGGATGGAAGTGAGAAGGTCACCACAGAATTTCGGCGGCTTGTCACCGCCAAGCAGGGGAAGCAAAACCTCGAATCTCTACAGTGCAGCCTACTGTGCTGTAACGGCGAGGTGGGCAGGAGGCTCAACAATTCGCCAGGTGGCGAGCGCAGGTGTGTCGACGGGGTCTTGACTCACTTCGACAGAAGTTTCGTGTGGCTCCCATTTTTTCTGAAATTGTCGTTCTACACTTGTCATGCCTAAACAAATACGTGAATGTTTATTTGCTGTATCGATCGCTTTTAGTTTGCTATGTCACTTGTGCTTCAGTCAGTCGGGTTTCGAGTTGCAGCCCATAATCCCCCTTGACACATCCCCCCCACTTACGTGTTTAGCCGTTCAATCCAAACCCGCCCGCTTCAGCACCATGGTATCCGGAGGGCGAACAGCCGGCGCAGGAGGAAGGGGAACAGCAGGACGAGAAGGAGGGAGAGGAGGAAGAGGAGGAAGAGGAGGAGGAAGAGGAGGAAGAGGAGGAGGAGGACGAGGAGGAGGAGGAGGGCTAGAAGGGGGAGGCGGAGGAGGGCGTCGCAAGTCATCGTCCGATCGCGACCCGTTGACCGCCAAATTGTCTCCCAATTTCGGAGGCGGCGCGCTTCCGCCTCCTCCTTCCGCCAGGGATGTCTCCGCGCTTCCCGCGTCCCTCCGGCGAGTGATGGCCCTTCGGACGCGCGCGGAACAAGATTCTTCCGCAGGTAGCGAGTAATTGCGCTAGCACGCTGTCTAAAGCGCGGAGCAAGATTCGTTAGTAGACGCGTAGAGTGATGCTGTGGCATGCGCATGCACGCTCGTAGTTCAGAAATGGTGGAGTTTAGTAGCGGCATAATGAGTTACAACTCCGTCGCGGCGAATGAGAAGAGGGAGATAGCTACTCACCGCTTTGAACACGTTGCAAGCTTGATTGGCTGCGAAGTAGCGCTGGGAGTTTCAGGGTTTTAGTAGGTTCAGGGTTTCGGGGTTTGAGGCCTATCACTTATGTTAGGGTACAGGCCTCTATTTCCAAGTTTCAAGTCGTCTCACTCGCCTCTCTACGCCTCTCGCTTCCCCCTTTTCCTCCCATCCCCCCCTCCCTCGTCCTCCTCCCCTCCCTCCCCTCACACTCTCCCCTGTCGCCTACTCCTCACAGCCCCTGTCCAATGTTTTTTCCCTCAACCTTTCGTCTCCGCTTCCACCTCTCCTCGTTGCACTCTCACCCACCCGCGCCACAGGGAAACGGAAGCGGGGAGGGGATACAGGAGGCCGCGGAACAGGGGGAGCTGGGGGAAAGGGGAAAGGGCGCGGGGGAGCGGCGAACGGTGAAGCTGAGGGGAATGCGGCGAGGAAACGAGCGCGGAGGGCGGAGCAAGGGGGAGCGGAAGGCATGCAACCACAGCAGAGTAAAGGGCCCGCGGGAAAGGGGGAACAGGAAGGGGGAAGCGGCGGGGGGGAACGCGGTGGGGGCAACCAGTGCGCAGGTGCAGCAGGGGGAAGGGGCGCAGGAGCATCCGCTGACGGGGGAAGGGGGGGAAAAGCGGGTGTGCGGGGGGGAAAAGGGGGGAGAGGAGGCGAGCGCGGGGGGAGGGGAGTGCAGCATGTGCGCGGAGTGAGGAGGAAAGAGGAGCAGGATTTGCTGGCGTTTGGAGAAGAGCTGAAGGCTGCTGCTGCGGCTGCGTCTGGGAGTATGTGCAAGAGGAAAGAGAAGATGAAGAAGTGAGTATTTAAGGGTGTGCGAAGGCGTGTGAGTAGGTGTGCGTGAGGAGTTTTGAGGTTCAATAAGTTAGTTAGCGAGTAAGAAATCACAGGCAGGAAAGTACTGCCATAATTCTCATGAGTTCAGGGTTTAGGGTTTAGTTCACCTGTGGCATTGTTGTAACTCTGGCAGGTTCCTGACCGAGCGGAGGAAAGCCAAGAAGCTGAAGCAGAGCCATGGAGGGCGCGGGGATGCAGAGGGCGGGGGAGGGGGAGGGGGAGGGGGAGGGGGAGGGGGAGGGCAGGGGGAGAGCAGCAGGAGCGCGGATGGCAGGGCGCTGGAGTTCCCTGAGAGGGAGGTGGTGGCGTTTGGGGATGTGGTGCAGGAACCGCCAAGGAATCTTCCTCAACCGCGGAAAAAGGTTGGTGTGTCTGATGTGGTGCGTGTGCGTGTGGTGCTGGTGGGGGGAAGGGAGGGTGTGCACATGGATGCGGGTCTGTGTTTCAGTGTGTGTGTGTGTGTGTGTGTGTGTGTGTCTGTGTGTACATCTGTGTAATGTGATTTGGTCATGTGCTTCTATGCATGGTATTGTGTGATCCGTGGCAGGTCTACGGGTGCAGTGTTCTTGTTCCTGCAAATCGATCTCCTCTTGTCTCCATTCCCTCCCATCCTGACCACTTGCCCAACCATCCACCCACCCAACAACCGCCCTCCTCCCGACTCACTCCCCTCAGTTATCCCCGCCACACCCTTCTCAAACCCCCAGTTTCTAACACTCGTGTCTTTGTGCCTGCCTTTCATCCCTGCCCTGCAGAAAACCCTTCAACAAGTGCTCTCTGCTGGTTCTGCTCCTTCCAACGCTGTTATCAGTGCTGCTGCTGCTGCCGCCACTGCTGCTGCTGGTCCCATGATTGCTGCGCCTAGTGCTGATCACTCTACTACAACTCACCCTGATGCATCCACCTCTGCTGCTGCTGCAGCAGCAGAAGCAGCTGTTCCGGCAAAGAAAGAGCCTCGGCATTGGCCGGCGAAATTGGGGGATTCCGTGGCGTCGCAGGAGAAGTTGCGACTGGCGGCAGTGCAGCATTACCGTGATTTGCATAAAAATAAGAAAGAGAAGATGCTGGCCAACCTTCCCGCACGGGCAATTCGATCGGAACTGGAGTGATTTTTGCTTGCAGAATTTTCTGGTTGGTATTTTTGTTTTTGTAAGGTTCTGCGTGTATGATGGTAGGTGTTTCAGTTTCTCCTGTCGTAATGGGGGTATGTAGCTGAGCACCCAAGTCGGGTTGACGCTTGTAAGGATTTACAAATCCTTACTGAGGCGCTCGATAGCGAGGACATCCCGAGGGCCACGCGACCCTCTGGTTCGGCCTACAATTTCGCATCCCAACCTCACCGAGCCGCCTCCGCACCAATCGCGACACTTCGCGAGCCAACCCTACCACACCATCCCCGCCTAGCTAGGTTTTCCCCTATTTAGGCCTCGCTAGTTCATTGTTCAGCCATGCTGTAATTTCCATTCTCGTTATTCGATATCTGCGCACTCTGACAAGTTCATTCATAACACCTGGTATCAGAGCTACTTTCCTAGCCTACCCCGCTTTTTAAAATGTATTACCCCTCGGGGGGGGGGACGAGTAAGGATGCCTTGGGGTCCAGGAGTTGCGTAGGCCGGCCAAGAGAACTAGTTAGTTGCTCTT